GTGCCAGACGTGTCCCCCTGCTTCAGCCAGTACATGTCCAGGCCCGTCTGAAGTTTGCTAGAGTGCATTTGGATGATCCAGAAGAGGATTGGGAGAATGTCATATGGTCAGATGAAACCAAAATAGAACTTTTTGGTAAAAACTCAACTCGTCGTGTTTGGAGGACAAAGAATGCTGAGTTGCATCCAAAGAATACCATACCTACTGTGAAGCATGGGGGTGGAAACATCATGCTTTGGGGCTGTTTTTCTGCAAAGGGACCAGGACGACTGATCCGTGTAAAGGAAAGAATGAATGGGGCCATGTATCGTGGGATTTTGAGTGAAAACCTCCTTCCATCAGCAAGGGCATTGAAGATGAAATGTGGCTGGGTCTTTCAGCATGACAATGATCCCAAACACACCGCCCGGGCAATGAAGGAGTGGCTTCGTAAGAAGCATTTCAAGGTCCTGGAGTGGCCTAGCCAGTCTCCAGATCTCAACCCCATAGAAAATCTTTGGAGGGAGTTGAAAGTGCGTGTTGCCCAGCGACAGCCCCAAAACATCACTGCTCTAGAGGAGATCTGCATGGAGGAATGGGCCAAAATACCAGCAACAGTGTGTGAAAACCTTGTGAAGACTTACAGAAAACGTTTGACCTGTGTCATTGCCAACAAGGGGTATATAACAAAGTATTGAGAAACTTTTGTTATTGACCAAATACTTATTTTCCACCATAATTTGCAAATAAATTCATAAAAAATCCTACAATGTGATTTTCTGGATTTTTTTTCCTCATTTTGTCTGTCATAGTTGACATGTACCTATGATGAAAATTACAGGCCTCTCTCATCCTTTTAAGTGGGAGAACTTGCACAATTGGTGGCTGACTAAATACTTTTTTGCCCCACTGTATGACTAGAGACATTAGCAGAATCTTTTTTAATATGACAAATTACAGGGTAGCCTACTCTGCTGACACCCCGAGAAGGGGTGACACAAGTATAATATGACATCCATCTAAACTGGGGGAGGAAAATATTGTCAAAAAACTAACTTAAGTAGCACTGACCCAAAAATGATAAACAGTGAATATGCGCATTCACCGGGGATATTGCTGATGCTCTCAGCTGGTGCCAAGTATGTGGATATATTGAAGCAACATCTCAAGACATCAGTCAGGAAGTTAAAGCTTGGTCGCAAATGGGTCTCCCAAATGGACAATGACTCCAAGCATACTTCCAAAGTTGTGGCAAAATGTCTAAAGGTCAACAAAGTCAAGGTATTGGAGTGGCCATCACAAAGCCCTGACCTCAATCCTATAGAAAGTTTGTGGGCAGAACTGAAAAAGCGTGTGCGAGCAAGGAGGCCTACAAACCTGACTCAGCTCTGTCAGGAGGAATGGGCCAAAATTCACCCAACTTATTGTGGGAAGCTTGTTGAAGGCTACCTGAAACGTTTGACCCAAGTTAAACAATTTAAAGGCAATGCTACCAAATACTAATTGAGTGTATGTAAACTTCTGACCCACTGGGAATGTAATGAAATAAATAAAAGCTGAAATAAATCATTCTCTCTACTATTATTCTGACATTTCACATTCTTAAAATAAAGTGGTGATCCTAACTGACCTAAGACAGGGAATGTTTACTAGGATTAAAACTCAGGAATTGTGAAAAACTGAGTTTAAATGTATTTGACTAAGGTGTATGTAAACTTCCGACTTCAACTGTACACTTGGTGAGTATAGTTATGTAGTGAACTGATCTTAGCTCAATGTTATTGATATAAGTTCCTCAGTTATGAATCATAATGCTTGTGTGTGTGTCACCCTGAGCCCTTCTCCTGTCTCCTTCTCCATACTGTCTTCATCACTGCAGCTGATCGCATAGCACATACTCAACTTTTACATGATGATAATCAACGCCATCAATCACTGTCATTTGTATTACAAACAGAATTGTTAGTCTAAATGTAATCTTGTAAATTGTTTCTCTTTTGCTTTATGTAATCCATTACCCGGCAATACATGGATGTGTGCACAGCGCTCATTCAAAAGTAGCCCTCGTTGCGAGACCACACAGGGAAGGGATATGTAAGAATTCTTCAAATTTCCTACTCACATTAATTCACACACTAATAACCTTTTTACATCATTGTGCCTACCCAGACCATAATGTGCTGGCTTGGATATATTCTTCTTCTCACATTGTTATTCCATCACATTTCCAGCAGCGTAACAAGCCCATCTCCAGTCTTCTCTTCTGACCTCAGTAAATCCCAATAATCCATCATGACATTTATCCTCTCCATATTTTATTATTGAAGGAGTCAATTTTTTAAAGAATGAATACAAAAAATAGGTAGAGAAAATGCAGAAGAGGTTTGGGAGGCAAGGGGAAAAATAAATCCAGATGACACCGAAAATGAAGACCCGACCAAAATAGCCAAGGTATCTGCATAAAAAGAATGGTCCATAGTCAGTCGAACCGCTGATCCCAGATCAGTTTTTAAGATGATAAATAAGATTGTACAGGTGGGGGACCTGATCCTAGATCAGAACTCGTGTTTGATGCTGTATGTATCAATATTTGATATTTATATTTGATTTTCAGATTGAGACTGGTGAGGATTCCTTCAGTCAGAAGTTCCATGTTGAAAAGATGCAGCAGTGCCAAAAAAGAGTGAACATAAGTTCCCTACAAGACAAAATGAAAAGGACTGAAAAATAGATAACTTTTTAATGAACAAGGCACCAAGGACATCTTAAAACAGTACCCAGCACTCCATTTGTCAGCCATTGTAAAGTCTAACAGAAAGAAATGGTAAAAAGCACAACTAATGTAGCATAGCCAAGTGCTGTAATCTGAATCCAAGATATATTGATGATGCATTACAAACAAATTGTCTTTTAGATTCTCAGAGATGGGAAGCAAATTCAGTATGGATGTGGACAGAAACATTCTGTCCGGATTCGGCACAATGGCCGACAAAATCATTGCAGAAACTGAGTTGCTGAATCTCTACAAGACGGCACTTCTCTCACACACAGATGACGCTCAGAAAGCTTTTTTTTCTCCAATGTAAAATGTACCCTTTACATTATGCAGCCACTCTAATTCTATTGACTCTAATCCAGCCAGTGTCTCAAGGTCACTGCAGCCATTTTGCCCCTCCCCTACCTCTTCAAAGAAGATCCAAGTGAGCTGTACGTCACAGACAGGATATGTATTTCCCAGCAGACAAATAAATGCAAAGTTAGTAGTACCGTGTAAGGTGTGCTGTGCTCAGTTAACGTACTGTTTGAAATACGACTTGAGTAACTTTAATTATATATATATTTTTACTTCTTACAGTGTGTAAAGTTTCCATCAACTACCATAAGAATAGAGGGGAAAACCGTTTGCGGATGAGAGCCAAATCCAACTCTTCCTGGATGGAGAGGCGCTACTCACTGAAGAGCCGGAGGACATCTCCATGGGATTGGGAGTGGCACTGGGGATGCATTTCCTTTCTAATATTGAGTGAAAGGCACAATGCTGTTCATTCAGACATGTCTTCTGGGAATTGATGAGGGGATAAATTACCAACAAATGTTTGAAACCAGAGATTCCTGTGATGTCTGTTAGTGAGATTTTTGTGACTTTACAAGTTTGTCACTCAATGTTATTTGTATTGTTATTATTAATAATATAATGCATGGGACATAAAGGGTTCCTACAGGGAAAGGTTCCTGGAAGCACATTTAGGGGTTCCGCCGTTGTGGCAATCTGAGGAACCCCTAAAAGTGCCTCCAGGAACCTATTTATTTTACAGTGGGCGTACTTCTATATGCGTAATCAGGTGCACGTCCTTACTCAACATTGACAGTAGCGCTCCAAACAAAAGACAATTAATTACATTGACAACACTCATAAATGGACTGAAATAAACCAAAACGTGTTTCTTACAAGTGTAGCATAGGTTGTGAGCTCTGCAAACGTGTCCACTCCAACAATGAGAACGGTAAACGACTGTAAAGATAATATATTGAATGCATTAACAGAAATTACAGTAACCAAAGAAACATTGTAGATTAGAAATTATGGGAATTAACAGTAAATGTAGGCTACTACTGGTGATATGTAATGGGGAATTGATAGACACTAACAATCAAAGGGCAATCAATTCACACAATGAATGCGCATGAAATGGTGGGAGAGCGCATTATAGAGAGAGATGTACATTGTGCATCTTAGCCACACTCCTTTTCTTCTTGGACCGTGGCATCCCTGTGGCCTCCTCAATGGATTAGTCCACTGAGACAGGCGCCAATCATACAGATGTCTCATGTGGCATGAAAAAAAGTAATATATTTGCGACTGCTCGACTAAAAACATCTTGGTCGACCAACAGCCTATCGACCAAACAATCGACTAAATGGGGTCAGCCCAAGTGTAGGATCATATCCACATATTCAGAGCTATATTTGCTGGAAAGTTTTAGGTTAATTTGACCCCACCTGCCACCTTATCTGCTGCTAATTCACTAAAGGCCAAGCTATGAAAGGTACCATAGATCAGGGATGGGGAAACTCCACCCATCGTGGGCCTAAATGTCTCCTAGTTCTCTTTTGCCTGGTGCCTCATTGAGTGAGAGTAATAAGAGTAATTTTGTAATAATGTCTTGTATGATGAATTGTTTTATTTATGATGTAAGCTGTTGATACGATCCTAATAAATACAAACACACAAATTGTTCACATAGTGCACACTTGGGTTGTGTTCAATAGGGCACACGACACTAGCATCTCTTATTGGACAAGTTCAGATGTTCCCGTCCCATTTCACTCCATTTTGGGCAGTTATCTTACGTTTCGTGCCAAATGAACACAACCCTGTTTCCTTCTCATACATCGATTGGTCTCCTCTGGCTGAATAGGGGGTGCACTGTGTTTTCGTCCCAGTCTTAGTGCTGTACATTTTTCTCATGCATTTCAGAATATTGCTTAAACTTCCAATCCGGTTGCCTGGCTACCCAAACTCCTTGCTCCGGCCAAACGCTACGCCACGGAAGCGGAAGAATTCAGTTTGAGTCATCAGGCAACCAATCCGGACCTTTGCGGATCACAACCAGCGGACAAGGACCTTGTCTCCATCTTCGATGGAGTAGAACTGCAGCGGTTTCAGGTCGTTGTCTATCTCAATCTCTTTGCCCTCCATCTGTGGAAAGACAAATGCCATTTTAGGGAGTCCCTTCCACTGCTAAGAAAGTGGGACTGTACCATTGGTCTATTTAACATTCACCTAGGAGTGGCAGTGGACGAGTATGGCTACACCAACACAGAAATAAAACTAGCCTGTGGGCAAGGCTAGGTGAGTAAGACCATTTCACCTAGCCTATTTAGACCTCTTTACCTTTGAGGTAGTATAGAGCAGTTGCTGTTGTCAGTAAACGCCTTTACCTTTGAGCTAGTGTATGAGAGTTTCAACTCAGCACCCGGTATCTTTAGCAGTCTGTAGAGCAGCCCCTTCACTTTCTGAATGATCATGGAATCTAAAACACATCAAAAGAGTGGAGTGACCGCTGAATATCCTTTGTAAAATGCAATAGGTTACCGTCACTTCAATTGCTCTTACACAGGTCACACACAGATTGTGCCATTTCATTAACATCTTACATGCATGATCTCCCATTGGCACAACATGATTGAAGAGTATGAAAACAGTTGATAAGTGTAACTCCTTATCCAAACCACACTTCATGATTTGGCATGCCATTTTCACATGTGGGCCTGTGGTCAACAGCAGACAACTTTATGCAGTGTGCATGCTGCCCAAAACATTGCCTAACAAGTGCAAACATTCCAAAGTCTGCAGTTGTTGGTTGTAGAGGCCAAAACACACTGTTCAAACACGTGTGTAATATGTGTAATAACATGTGTAATAACAGTAGGGAGGCTCAAGGAGGAGGTCGTCGGGTAAGCTTGGCGTCGGGTAAGCTTGGCTTTATACATAGCTTGGGCTTTGTCGAGTAAGGCTTAAACTATGTATTTAGATTGTAGTTAGGTATTGTAGGTAGGTATCGTGGGTTGTTGTATGTAATTATTGTAGGTTAGTATTGTATTCGGCTGTGCCGGGTGTAGCACGAAGCTAGCTAGCTAGCTAACTCACCACCTGGACTAGCTGGCGAGTAGCTATTAGCAACGGTATAGTTGTTTCACGCCTGAGAGTGCCTGTAATTACGCCAGCTGGCTGCCTACAATAATTACATACAATAATTGCCTACCATTCAGCTGTTTTCTAACCTCATTGTCTGAACCGTTAACGTTAGGTAGCAAGTGGCTCCTGTGCTTGAAATTTAGCTAGCTTGTTGCTACCTGGATAGCTACTAGTAAACAATAGCTGGAACGACCGAGCGAACAGACGCGAACTGGCTGAGTCAATTCAGTGGCTAGCTTTGCACTTGGCTAGCTAACAGTAGCTGCTAGGGGTAAGTCATAACCTACACTTGTGTTTTTTTACATATTGATAGCCCGAGTCGTTCAAGGAATTCGGGACACGGGTGACTAGTTAACGTTAGTTTGGCTCTCTCTGTGTGTTCGTGCCGTGAAAGGAGGGGTTCTTCTTTGTCTGAAAGCAATGGCTAGCTAGTTTGCTAACTATTCTAGCTAACTAACTGGCTGAATAAATTGACGACGGACTCGCTCAAGCTGTCGGGACTAACCCACAACGTTAGACACGGACACGAACGATCTGCTTGCGTGTTGATACACTGGTGGTTTGTTGTCGCCGAGTATTGGCGCTAAACCGTGTTGTTGGAGACCGGCATGCTAGCTGGCTGTGGCGTCTTATGACGAGGTGCTCGGACGTTTTTCACAGAATAATACTGCACCTAGTTAGCTAGCTGAATAAACTAAGTTAGTCTATTCCTAGAAAACATTGAACCGCTGTAGTTTACAACAATTATAGTTTCTGAGGTGGAAGTTGGGAGAGTTATATTTGGGAGTTGTGGTGAGGGAGGCCCCGCTCTCTCCTTTCCCAGATGTTTAGTTCATTTCATTCCGATCTCCTCTGCATTATTGTAGCCATCTGCTGCAGCCTGTCAACTATGCCTCTGCCTATCCCTGTTCTCTCCTCTCCGCACAGGCTACACAAACGCCTCACACCGTGTGGCTGCTGCCTCTCTAACCTGGTGGTCCCTGCACGCACGACCCACGTGGAGTTCCAGGTCTCAGGCAGCCTCTGGAACTGCCGTTCTGCTGCCAACAAGGCAGAGTTCATCTCAGCCTATGCTACCCTCCAGTCCCTCGACTTCTTGGCGCTGATGGAAACATGGATTACCACTGAAAACACTGCTACTCCTGCTGCTCTCTCCTTGTCTGACCATGTGTTCTCGCATACCCCGAGAGCATCTGGTCAGCGGGGTGGTGGCACAGGAATCCTCATCTCTCCCAAGTGGACATTCTCAATTTTTCCCCTGACCCATCTGTCTATCTCCTCATTTGAATTCCATGCTGTCACAGTCACTAGCCCATTTAAGCTTAATATCCTTGTCATCTATCGCCCTCCAGGTTCCCTTGGAGAGTTCATCAATGAGCTTGACGCCTTGATAAGTTCCTTTCCTGAGGATGGCTCACCCCTCACAGTTCTGGGGGATTTCAACCTCCCTACGTCTACATTTGACTCATTTCTCTCTGCCTCCTTCTTTCCACTCCTCTCCTCTTTTGACCTCACCCTCTCACCGTCCCCCCCTACTCACAAGGCAGGCAATACGCTTGACCTCATCTTTACTAGACGCTGTTCTTCTACTAATCTCACTGCAACTCCCCTCCAAGTCTCCGACCACTACTTTGTATCCTTTTCTCTCTCCCTCTCCTCCAACACTACTCACTCTGCCCCTACACAGATGGTAATGCGCCGTCGCAACCTTCGCTCTCTCTCTCCCGCTACTCTCTCCTCTTCCATCCTATCATCTCTTCCCTCTGCTCAATACTTCTCCCTCCAATCTCCTGATTCTGCCTCCTCAACCCTCCTCTCCTCCCTTTCTGCATCCTTTGACTCTCTATGTCCCCTATCCTCCCGGCCGGCTCGGTCCTCCCCTCCAGCTCCATGGCTTGATGACTCATTGCGAGCTCACAGAACAGAGCTCCGGGCAGCTGAGCGGAAATGGAAGAAAACTAGACTCCCTGCGGACCTGGCATCTTTTCACTCCCTCCTCTCTACATTTTCTTCATCTGTTTCTGCTGCTAAGGCCACTTTCTACCACTCTAAATTCCAACCATCTGCCTCTAACCCTAGGAAGCTCTTTGCCACATTCTCAGTGTGGCGTGACCCTGGACAACACCCTGTCGTTCTCCGCTAACATCAAGGCGGTGACCCGATCCTGTAGGTTCATGCTCTACAACATTCGGAGAGTACGACCCTGCCTTACACAGGAAGCGGCACAGGTCCTAATCCAGGCACTTGTCATCTCCCGTCTGGATTACTGCAACTCGTTGTTGGCTGGGCTCCCTGCCTGTGCCATTAAACCCCTACAACTCATCCAGAATGCCGCAGCCCGTCTGGTGTTCAACCTTCCCAAGTTCTTTCACGTCACCCCGCTCCTCCGCACACTCCACTGGCTTCCAGTTGAAGCTCGCATCTGCTACAAGACCATGGTGCTTGCCTACGGAGCTGTGAGGGGAACGGCACCTCCGTACCTTCAGGCTCTGATCAGTCCCTACACCCAAACGAAGGCACTGCGTTCATCCACCACTGGCCTGCTGGCTCCCCTACCTCTGCGGAAGCATAGTTCCCGCTCAGCCCAGTCAAAACTGTTCGCTGCCCTGGCACCCCAATGGTGGAACAAGCTCCCTCACGACGCCAGGACAGCGGAGTCACTCACCACCTTCCGGAGACATTTGAAACCCCACCTCTTTAAGGAATACCTGGGATAGGATAGGGTAATCCTTCTACCCCCCCCCAAAAAAACAAAAAAAACATTGTAAAGTGGTTGTCCCACTGGCTATAAGGTGAATGCACCTATTTGTAAGTCGCTCTGGATAAGAGCGTCTGCTAAATGACGTAAATGTAAATGTAAATGTGTCCTATTGCCTAGTAAATTATCTACTATAATTCAACACAGGTATCGAGGGTGTTAACTAGATTTTCTTTCATTTCCAGCCGCTCAATGAGAAAAGACCTTTGGCACATGTATATCATTTTCACACTATCGTGCTGAATGGAACCAGACTGCGCTGGCTCTGATATTTTCTTTTCACATTGTCCTTTTCAGTACGGTTCTGTCACGCCCTGGCTCTGGGACTCTGTTATGTTGAGCCAGGGTGTGTAGTTTCTATGTGTTTGTGTTTCTATGTCGTTATCTAGCACATGTGTTTCTGTGTTGGCTGGGGTGGTTCTCAATCAGAGGCAACGAGTATCAGCTGTTGCTTGTTGTCTCTGATTGGGAACCATACTTAAGCAGCCTGTTTTCCACAGTGTATTGTGGGATCTTGTTCCAGTGTGGTTTGTGTTAGACCGAGGACGTCACGTTATCGTTTGTTGTTTTGTTCGTGTAATTATTAAATAAAAAGTATGTTCGCCTTCAACGCTGCGCCTTGGTCCTCTGTTCCCGACGATCGTGACAGAAGATCCCACCAAAACAGGACCAAGCAGCGTGTCCAGGAGCAAGCGCCGGGTAAGGAGCTGGAGAGGTTGGCGATGGCCCAGGTGGGCCAATGGTGGTCCTGGGAGGACATGCTCGCGGGAAAAGGGCCATGGGCTAAAGTTAAGGCCCTGGCGAGAGAGGAGGTATGGCGCCAACAGTGCCGTCGTCAGACAGGCGTGAGGCAACCCCAAGAAATGTTTAGGGGGGGGCACACGGCATGGATGACGGGGCAGCAGGAGGCAGCTACAGGGCGTATCGGGAGAATAGGAGAGGAGGCCACCAGGTTAAGGGGGCTATTGGTCCAGAGGGAGCAGGAGTTAGTGGGTCAGAGGGAGGAGCTACTGGAGGCGATAAGGGAGAAGGAGAGAGTAGAGGCACGGCGAGAGGAACTGTGTAGGCAGCTGAGGGAGCGGAGGGTTATGAAGAAACCCAGTCCCGCTCCTCACACCAAGCAAGTGGTGTGTGTCACCAGTCCGGTCCGGCCCGTTCCTGCTCCCCGCACTAACTTAGTGGTGCGTGTTCCCAGTCCGGCCCGACCCGTTCCTGCTCCCCGCACTAAGTTAGTGGTGCGTGTTCCCAGTCCGGCCTGACCTGTTCCTGCTCCCCGCACCAAGCCAAGGGTGCGCGTCGTCAGCCTGGTCCGGCCCGTTCCTGCTCCCCGCACTAAGTTAGTGGTGCGTGTTCCCAGTCCGGCCCGACCTGTTCCTGCTCCCCGCACCAAGCCTATGATGCGCGTCGTCAGCCCGGTCTGGCCTGTTCCTGCTCCCCGCACCAAGCCTATGGTGCGCGTCGCCAGCCCGGCCCGGCCTGTTCCTGCTCCCCGCACCAAGCCTATGGTGCGTGTCGCCAGCCCGGTCCGGCCCTTCCTGCTCCCCGCACCAAGCCAATGGTGCGCGTCGCCAGCCCGGTCCGGCCTGTTCCTGCTCCCCGCACCAAGGCTATGTTGCGCGTCGTCAGCCCGGTCCGGCCCATTCCTGCTCCCCGCACCAAGCCTATGGTGCGCGTCGTCAGCCCGGTCCGGCCCATTCCTGCTCCCCGCACCAAGCCAATGGTGCGCGTCGCCAGCCCGGTCCGGCCTGTTCCTGCTCCCCGCACCAAGCCAATGGTGCGCGTCGCCAGCCCGGTCCGGCCTGTTCCTGCTCCCCGCACCAAGCCTGTGGTGCGCATCGTCAGCCCAGTCCGGCCCATTCCTGGTCCCCGCACCAAGCCTGTGGTGCGCATCGTCAGCCCGGTCCGGCCCGTTCCTGCTCCCCACACCAAGCCAGGGGTGCGCGTCGTCAGCCTGGTCCGGCCCATTCCTGCTCCCCGCACCAAGCCTGTGGTGCGCTTCGTCAACCCGGTTCGGCCTGTCCCTGCTCCCCGCACCAAGCCTGTGGTGCGCGTCGTCAGCCCGGTCCGGCCCGTGCCTGGGTCACCGGTGCCTGGTCAGGTACCGGTCAGCTGCTCCACACCGGAGCCTAAGCAATCCGCTCCAACGATGTCCAGTCCAGCTCCAGCCAGCGGGTCCAGACCGGACCAGGGGCGCTACGGGGGGATTGTTGGAGGGTGGTGGTCAAGCCTGGAGCCGGAACCGCCTCCGAGGAGGAATGCCCACCCAGCCCTCCCCTGTTCGGTTTATGTTTAGGCGCGGTCGCAGTCCGCGTCTTTGGGGGGGGTGGGGGGGGGGGTGGGGGGGGGGGGTACTGTCACGCCCTGGCTCTGGGACTCTGTTATGTTGAGCCAGGGTGTGTAGTTTCTATGTGTTTGTGTTTCTATGTCGTTATCTAGCTCATGTGTTTCTGTGTTGGCCGGGGTGGTTCTCAATCAGAGGCAACGAGTATCAGCTGTTGCTCGTTGTCTCTGATTGGGACCCATACTTAAGCAGCCTGTTTTCCACAGTGTATTGTGGGATCTTGTTCCAGTGTGGTTTGTGTTAGACCGAGGACGTCACGTTATTGTTTGTTGTTTTGTTCGTGTAATTATTAAATAAAAAGTATGTTCGCCTTCAACGCTGCGCCTTGGTCCTCTGTTCCCGACGATCGTGACAGGTTCCAGCAACTACGATGGAGATGAGTAACCAGGCCAGCTCAGTTTGGCTCAGCTTGGTTCAGTATTGCGAAGTCTTTTTTTATTTTATTTTATTTAAGGAGATTTAAGGGTCCTAACCTCCTTACTTATTTTGTATTGTTATTTGAAAGCACAGTCAGAAATGACAGAGGGAGAAACATTATGAGGGACAGAAATTTGCCAGGGGGTATATGTGGTCTGTCTGGAGTCTGAGTCCGGCACATGTGAAAAGTCATCTAACATCCATGCACATCTCAAATCATTTGCTTAGCTACTGAACATATTATAATATTATAATAATATTATATGCCATCTGACTAGCTGATGAAGCCAGGTGGGAGCCTTTACCTGGGAGTTTCTTCACCACAGATTTTCGGTCTGTCTCATCTGGACAAACAAATGTTATGCCTGGTGGGAGGAAAAGTTTGAAATTCTATATTACTCTTAAGAACTAATGAAATGTATATACTCTGACTCATCTCCTGAGTAAATATGTATATGTATTCACAGCACATGCAGTTCTGGGAAAGAGATTATTATAGGTTAGTAGCAAATCATTACAAAACTCTCAAATTCATTCCTTAACTGTTTCTTAATCCTGGTCTTGAGGGCCCAAAGGGGTGCACATATTTTTTGTTGCCCTAGACACCTGATTACACTTATTAAATGTTTGACGATTAGTTGATTAGTGGAACAAGGTGTGTAGTGCTAGGGCAAAAATTCAAAATGGACACGTCTTTGGATCCCCAGGACCAGGACTAAGAAACACTGCCTTACGCAAATGTGTGCAGCCCCGGAATTTGTAACTTGACGCAACTACACAGGATCACCATTTTTCTTAGCTAATTGCGTTGCGTACAGTATCAATTAGGCTTAAGAGAAGTGAGGAGGACTCACTTAAGAGCTGATTTTTCAGTGCAAACGGCTCCTGCTTCTTCAGTTCGCTGTCTTCTGGAGCTCCGTATTCTGAAAAACAAAAAAGAAATCGAGCCTCTGTCGATTCATTGAACTCATAATGACTACAGGGCAGGAATTAGGATTGCCATTGTCTCTTTGTAAGATTGATGGCATGGTGACATGGGTTGCGTTGTATCACTTATTTCTCGGGATATGGTTATGTTGTGGTGGCATCAGATTTTTTTTTTTTTACCTGCCCTGTGTAGTAGTATGGCAGATAATGAGACAAATGTTTTTTCTTTTTTTTTCTCTTCAGAAATGCCTATAGTGGAGTAGATATAGGATGGGCTGTACCACTTCTCAGTCTGAAATAGGGTGTTGCAGCAGAGTGCCGGGGAAACCTCAGGAGGAATGTACCACTCTTGACTCACTCTGTATGAGACTCTGATAGCGGGGGTGCTGTGTGGTGAATTCGGCACTGGGGCGGTTCTGCTGGGGGTCTCGGTGTCCCCCGGATGCCAGCCACTCTAGCCCGAACATCTTGCAGTAGTCCAGCTCTGCCCCCCTCCTATCCTCGGGCAGGATCTACAGGTAACCATGGTAATAGGGTAAGAGAATGGAGGATTACAGCAAGCGCATCTGCAAACATTGATGTATTCATAGGGTGAGAAGAAAACATATATAGCTTTAAAGGAACATTTCACAATGTCTAGATGGAACCACGTCCCACGACATCAGTTGTGTAGATCCAGCTACTATATGCCTCAATCTAGAATGAAGATAACAGTAAGCACCGTCTAATTTCCTGGTTTTCTTTGGTGCATCTCTTTTACATTCATTTGGGATGGAGGCATATAGCTGGATCTACCACTGCTATCACTTTACGTTTGCGCGCGCAGTGGCTGACCATTAATCGCACCAGTATAAATTGCATGTCGGCCATGTGGGGATCAACTGTAAGCAGCTGGGTCTGTCGTTCAGACCCGGGTGTATCAAAATGAAGCTTAATGAACACACCCAGGTTTGGCGGTAGCGTTAAACAGAGGATGGAGCCTCACCGTCCACCTGTTGAGGGCCTCCAGCCGGCCAACCCTGGCAATGAGCAACTGCACGGCCGTGTTGGGGTTCCTCTCCCGGCTCAGCAGGGGGTTCTGCCGACACGACAACCGGACCAGGTTCTGCAGCTTCTCTAGCTCGTTTATTACCCACCACTGTGTGTGTGTCAGTGAGTGTGTCAGTGAGCGTGTCAGTGGGTGAATGAGATTGTAAGAGTGTGTGTCAGTGAGTGACGTAAATGTAAATGAGTGTGTGTTTGTGTGTGATTTTTGTTGTATTGCCGTGTCAGTGTGTTTGTATGTAAGCACAAGTGAGTGTTTGTGTAGGGTTTAGAGAAAGAGAGAGAGAGAGAAAGGGTTGAGTTAGAAGAAAGCTTTCACATTCTCCCCTACTATCTATTTTTACAGAACAAGTATTAACTTTTTGCAGACTAGTGATATTCATCAAATTTGTTTAGTAATTCATCATTTATATATCCAGATACATTTCATTAAGATAAAATCTCTCTTAGAAGAGAGACCTTACTCACAGACAATATTCACCTCTGAAATGTTGTTGCTATTAACTGCGAGAATTTTCAGGGCAGGAAACATTGCTGTTTTGCAACCTACAGAAGACGTGAGAAAATAATCATTTACAGACTCTTACCAGTATACTTAATGCCGATCATTTGCTCTTACAGTTTTACACATTGTGAAATGCCTGTCATCAAAACACATATCCACATTCTGAAATGTTGTTCAACTACCTCTACTGATATGTTAATTCAACTTGACCTCCATTAACAAACACATTTTTTTAAATGTAACGTTTTCAAAACAATGTCGGACGTAAACTTTACCAGGCAGCGCATCATCAAACCACAAGGTTGACAAACCAGTCTTAGACATATTTAGATTCTCCAGTCTGAAATTCATGAAAAGCATGGATGTAAAAGCTTACACTTTTGGTAAATGCCACTATACATGCTTGTAAGTGCTACATAAGTTATTATAAATGTTACAAATGCTTATTCATTGAAACGCTAATAATGTTTAGATTTATTTATTAGGATAATAGTATGTATCCAATTTTTTGTTGTTGTCGATTAGTGCTCATGAAAGTAAAGTACTCCCAAGAACAGTAGTGTTTACACTATCAACGCACAAGTCGAAGCTAACGACAGGGCTATGTCATAAGACGTAGTGAACGGTTATGAAAAGTGTATTTGTTGATACGGTTATGCCCGTACTTACCTAGGCAGTTCGGCAATACTCAGTACGGTTCCATCAACCAGAGGGTTTGTTGAGAGATCCAAAACTGTCAAGGACTGTAAGACATTGTTTGGCCTGCGCGAAAGAGGCGGAAATACAAGTCAGTTCTATATGTTGTTTTAGAAATAAAATAACTCAATCGGAACTTAGACCCAAAATGGCTCAAACCTTACCTCTGCAGTTCAGTGATATCGTTCTCAGAGACGTAGAGCTCTTCCAGCAGTGGCCACATGGGGGCGCACTCAAGCAGCTAACAGACCAACACCAAATGGAGAGGGGAGAAATGTAAAGAGAGTCAGCATCTACATAAGTTCTTCTCATTTCATTAGGCATTCATAGGTTTGCACCAGCTCATTAATTAACATATTGTGCACTGCAACTTAATTATCTATTACCATATTAACTGGTACAAAAACAACTTTAAAATTAAATCAGCCTACAAAATTGGGGCTCTTTCTCAATTAATCTTTCATCAATTCCTCGCATCTTATCGCCTCGCCTCCTTCTCAACCATATTGGAGGATAAGGTCCAAGGTTCATCCCCTCCAGCCTTCTTCTCCAATGGGTTTTGAGAAGGATGGAAGGATAGAGGATGCGAGGAATTGAGGAAAGATTAATTGAGAAAGAGCCCCATAATGCCTAAGGGAAGGGTACAGTGTGGTGGCTGTCACCTGAAGCCACGTAAGGGCACAGTTGGTGAGGGAGAGGACCCTGAGGCAGGAGAAGGCCCGGGGTCGCACCGTAGGGTTGGAGGGCACACGCAGTCTGTTGTGGCTGAGGGGACAGAGGACGAGAGACAGTCAGTGAGGGGATCAGAGTTTGAGAAAAGTGAGGCACAAACACACACACACCATTATTCAGTGTGATCTACCTGAGCTGAAGTTCTTTGAGTTTCTCCATCTGCTCCGTGATGGCCATCACGTCGTCCCAGCAGCACAGCAGGTTCCCACACAGGTCCAGCATCAGCACGTCTGACAGTGGCCATTAAGGATGTAGTAGTAGAGCACCATCAGCTAAATGTCCAATCAACGCTTCCCCCAAGCTAATTCAATCGGGTGGCTGGACCGTACATTTACTAACAAGACACATGGGCTGTGCCCCAAATAACACACATATTCCATAAAGTACACTACTTTTGACCAGAGCCCTATTCAAAAGTAGTGCACTATATAGGGAAAAGGGGTGCCATTTGGGACGCAACCATGGTGTAATGTAGCTACATATCACATTAACTCCAGGTCAGAGAAGTGCAGTCAAGTATTATTAACATGAACAATTTCATATGATTGATAGTATATTTTTTTTTACATGGGCACTTATTTAACTAATTAAAAGCTACTAAATGAAAGAATACGGGGAGTGGTGTTTCGGATTTCGTTTGCAGGGCCCGGGCTGGAAACCTCACGCAACCTCAGTGAAACAGCGGTGAGGTTTTCCACCCTGCGGAGAAGCACAGATGACAACAACGCATCACTGAATAAGTACAGATGACTGCACATCGGCATTGTGCAAACTCTGTTGGAGTGTGGTGCAGTTCAACAGTCCCAATTCAAGTGCATTAGCCTACTTTTTGTAACCATTCTTTACTAAATATTTATTTATTTAACCTTTATTTAACCAGGGAATAACCTTTAGGTTAGAAACCTCTTTTGCGAGGGGGACCTGATACTGGCATCCTCTGGTTTACGTGGCATGCTTTCACAATATTCCTTAACTATTTCAAACAGTACATACAGAGTTGACCGTACAAATAAGCACACCTTGGGACAGATTCCCTGAGTCAAAAGCCTAGTCCTGGACTAAAATGCACTCTCACTCTCGGGCTCCAAAGCCTTGTTGTCCCCTTACTTCTGTTTCTCTGAGATGGCCTCGAAGCCCACCATCTCCACCGTCCTCGTGGAGATCTGGATCTCCTCTCCCAAGACCTGCTGGACCTCTGTTTCGTAACGCCGCCTGATGGCCGTCAGGTAGTCCACCCCAAAGCTGGCCTTCTTGGGCCGGACGAAAGAGCCTCCCTTCGGGTGCCTTAGGCGGGGTGGAGGGGGTAGAGAACCTTGGACTGAGAGCAGCAAAACACATAATGGCCACATTCCAAACAAAAAAATGTCTCCCCCTTTTCCTATGTTCTTGGTCTGAGAGCAGCAGAACACATAGGCCTAATGGCCGTATTCCAAACTAAAAAATGTCTCCCCCTTTTCGTATGTTCTTGGTCTGAGAGCAGCACTTGAAGTACTCATAATGGCCAGATTCCAAACTAAAAACGTCTCCCCGTTCCTCCTTGATGATTCCCCCTCACTGCAAAAAACAACCTGCTGCCTGGTGTAGATCTGGACCTGAGGATCTCCAGAGGAAGGATGACACTAATCTCCCGTGCGCAGATTCTGCGTGTAGACCAAGAGAATCTGCCTGGGCGGAATGGGATGCGTGAGATCGGAGCAGCATTAGTTCCAGTTTTGGGGTTTTCATCACTGATTATTTGGACGCATTAGGATTGGGTGAAGGCGGGGGGATTCCTTCTGCGAGGGTGGAGACTTCATTTTTGCCAGAACTCTCAATTTCTAACACGTATGAACACAGAATTTAATCACGCAGCTGACCAAATTACACAATATTCATTTCATGCTACCATCATGGAGATACTAGATAGGGTTTACTTTACCTGCACGTGAAGTAGTGGACACCTTCATGGATGCCATCGTGTTTGCCACGCTCAGGGTTGTCCCACTCCACACCAAGCCACAACCCTAAGCACAGAGGCATTGGTAAGTACAGGCATTGAATAAGTACTTGGTTATAGTGCATCACCAAGAATATTGGAGAATTTCACTCAAACAGTGCTGCCACACCCACTGTGGATAACGCTTATGTTATTTTGCCTATTATATCCATATCTCACGCGGTCTGTAGCTAGTTAGCTAAATAGCTTACCTGCAGTTGGTGGTACAGAGCCAACAAACCGTACCGTGCCACGCTCCCCCTCACAAGCCACACGTCTGCCCACTGCGTCTGATGGAAGGCCCTCGTCCATGGTGGTGGGTTGTGTCTGGTCAGGGACTCTCATTGAACTCACTGTATCTATAACGTTGGCTATAAGTCTACCTATATATTGACAATGAAAAATAATGAGCAGCTAAAGCCTTCTGTACTTACTGTACTTTGACAGTGCTATTTAAGAAAGCGTTAGGTAATAGCTAGCTAAAATATTTGCTGTCATGTCAACTCCCAAGAAACGGTGATGTTGTTTAGCTTTATTTGCTTGGCTAGCTAGATGAGCTACAACAAATATCTTCACTGTCAACTAAACACGAGGACCACGTATCCACAGAATGTATATGCTGTTATTTCCAAATATTGCTTTGAAAGTTACCTTAAATCAGAGAGTTTTGGTCATATTTCGCAGCAGCGTAAATAACCACAGTTCACACACCCTGACAGGAAGTAACCGAATATGATGATGCACACGTTTGCCATACAAGTTTGATAGATTATTAATGATGAAGTTATCAGCAATAAACTTTATTTTAGTATAATTATTTAAATAGCTATCATCGTTATTAACAAGTAACAATCAATGCATCTATATTTAGATCCCTGGATGAAAGCCCATTCGTATGTTAAAGCTAGGAACTATTTACAATTGCGTTGTGCATGGTAGGACATAATTAGGTGAAGGACAGGTCTTCATGGAGTAAAACGTGAGTAAATAACTACATTTATTTTTAGCATCAACAAATTGTTCTAATGAGATGTGTTCAATATAACTTCGCGTCCAACTTATTTGATTAATTATTTCCATGATAAAAAACACGTTTTTATAAGATTGTCTCATCATTTAAACCAGCTGGAATCGACTATCGAGAGTATTGGAAGTGAACTGACCATGAAAAATAAACGTTTTGGAGAGAGGTTAGTCGCCCTTCACACGAGTATCGGCATGTAACTAATAATAATTATGTTGAATTTGTACATTGTTGGAAATACAAGGTAGTTGGGGAAACGCACACAGTGTATTACACTGAACAAAAATGTAAACGCAACATGGAAAGTGTTGGTCCCATGTTTCATGAGCTGAAATAAAAGATCCCAGAAATGTTCCATATGCACAAAAAGCTTATTTATCTCAAATTGTGTGCACACATTTGTTTACATCCCTGTTATTGAATATTTCTCCTTTGCCAAAATAGTCCATCCACCTTACAGGTGTATATCAAGAAGATGATTAAACAGCATGATCATTACACAGGTGCACCTTGTGCTGGGGACAATAAAAGGCCACTAAAATGTGCAGTTTTGTCACATAACACAATGCCACAGATGTCTGAAGTTTTGAGGGAGCGTGCAATTGACATGCTGACTGCAGGAATGTCCACCAGAGCTGTTGCCAGAGAATTGAATGTTAATTTATCTACCATAAGCTGCATCCAACGTCGTTTTACAGAATTTGGCAGCATGTCCAACCGGCCTCACAACCGCAGACCACATGTATGGCATCGTGTGGGAGAGCAGTTTGCTGATGTCAACGTTGTGAACAGGCATAAACTACGGACAATGAACACAATTGCATTTTATCGATGGCGATTTTAATGCACAGAGATACCATGACGAGAGGCCCATTGTCGTGACATTCATCCGCCACCATCACCTCATGTTTCAGCATGATAATGCAAGGCTCTGTACACAATTCCTGGAAGCTGAAATTGTCCCAGTTCTTCCATGGCCTGCATACTCACCAGACATGTCACCAATTGAGCATGTTTTGGATGCTCTGGATCTACGTCTCTGACAGCGTGTTCCAGGTCCCGCCATATTCAGCAACTTCGCACAGCCATTGAATTGGAGTGGGACAACATTCCACAGACCACAATCAACAGCCTGATCAATTCTATGCGAAGGAGATGTGTCGCGTTGCATGAGGCAAATGGTGGTCACACCAGATACTGACTGGTATTCTGATCCACGCCCCTACCTGTGACCAACAGATGCATATCTGTATTCCCAGTCATGTGCAATCCGTAGAGTAGGGCCTAATACATTTATTTCAATTGACTATCATTATATGAACTGTAACTCAGTGAAATCGTAGACATTTTAGCATGTTGCGTTTTCTATTTTTGTTCAGTAAATTGCTTCTGGTTGTTAGCAACCAATTAGGTTGGCAGCTCATTGGCACTGGATAGCCTACCTTTGATTGTGTGTTACCTCTATGGATGTTGAGGAAATGCTTATGAAGATAGCTTGCTGCCCTTATGTGATGTCTTTGTAGCAAAAAATATTACACATACCATGGCATTCATGCACATCTAGCTACCTAACACAGCACTGTTGTAGTGAACAAACTGCTGCTGTATCTACTATAAGTCTAACAATGTATTTGTTTTTCCTTAGTGAGGAGGGGTCATCTGTGGACAAACAGTCCATGGACTATGTAGTGGGATCAGTATCAGGCAGCTTGTTTCCAAAGGAGTCTGCATCCAGCTCCGGATCATTATCAGCCTTGTTCCAAGCTGCACCAGTAGTTGACACTCTGTTCTTTGTTCCTGCTCCCAAGGTAAGCCCATTAGTCCCAAGGCAAGGATGCTCAGCTCCGGTCTTTTAATGGTGCAGCCCAGCTGATTTTTGTTTTCCAGGAAACCAAGGCCATGTTCAGTAGAGAAAAGGTTTAGAAATAATGTGAAACGGGGAGTTTCTACCCGTCCACTAAGAAACAGTAATCAGTGTCCAGTTGGGAGATAATGTTTTGAAATCGGGAGGTATTACCTGCAAAACCAACCGGACTACAGAGCTGGAGGGCCTGAGTCGTGTACCCTTGCTAGAATCTATTTGCCAACTGAGTGAAATTACGTTTGTTATTTTCTGTGTGGTTCTTCCCTGCATAGCTTGAACCGAGGAGCGTGGAGGTGAAGGAAGGCGCGGTCACAAAAGGCCCGAACAACCAGAAACAAACAAAGAAAGCCACAAAGGACAAATCAGCTGCAGACCTAAATCTAGAAAACAGGTGAGCGATAAAAATTAGACTATTTGTGACATGCAAAAGAGTGCTGTGATGCAAGAGATGTAGATTGATAGATAACAAAGCTTTATTTCTCTCTCTCTCCCTCTCCCATTCTCGCTCTCCCGCTTTCAGAGAAAGTGCATTACAAAATGCTGACGAAGATGAACAGGTCCCAAAGATGCGCAAGAAGTCTAAAAGGAAAGCTGTTGAGATGGAAGAAGGGGGTGCAACAGAGGAGGAGGAGAGGCAGACAAAACAGAGGACTGGAGCCCAAATGGCAGAGGAGAGAGTAAAACAGAAACGAACGGTGTTTGTCGGCAACCTACCTGCCAGCTGCACAAAGAAGGTAACAGCAGCCCCATTTGTGTTATAAGCAGTGAACATAATCTCATTGATTAGGTATGTAGAAAGCAGACCTGGGTTCAAATAGCAAATATTCCTGTTATGTTGCTTATATGTTGTTTGTGTGTGGTTTTTCAGACACTACAGCTTGTCTTCAAGGATCAGGGAGCCATTGAAAGCATTCGATTTCGATCAGTGGTAAGTACTCCATTCACTGTATTAGATTAATCTAATTCCCATCATCAGACAATGTGAGAGTGCTCATTTCCACTAGGGTTGAGCTTCCTGAATGCTTCATAGTAATGGATGAAAGATGATCTTAGTGATACAACGCTTTCTGAAGACTCAACCCTGATCGGTGAAGCTAAAACATGTCATTTTTCTTGCAGGTAAGAGAGGATCCATCTATGTCACGCAAAGTAGCAGCTATTCAGTAAGTTTCCCTGATTTTTTTTTTACCATGAGAAATGCTAACACTGGTTGAATGGGAGTTTATCCATGGTAACATGACGCATGCATTAGAGTACTTTTTTTTTTTTTTTTGCTTTCCCTCTCCAGACGTAAGGTTCACCCCAAGAAGCAGAGCATCAATGCCTACGTGGTGTTCAAAGCTGAAGAAGGAGCCGAGAAGGCATTGGAAAGGTACAGCAACTGGCAAGCGTTCAACTTGAATTTTACCGTGACTGTTTTAAATTATATATCATAATCTCGTAAACCCAGAACTAAAGTCTTGCTTAATTGCGTCAGATGCTCTATTACATTTCCCTTCAGAAATTCTAAAGATGTGAGCACCTGCAAAATTGTGATTTGATCAAATGATCAGTCAAAAAATCAGCGTACCAGAACAAAGTTCCTCATTAGTCGTTACATCCCACAGTCTGTTGACAGACACTACGATACCATGTGTTACGTGCGTCTGTCCGAGAGATGAATATATCAAGTGTTATCTTTAGGCCCTTGTGGGTTAATATGTATTACTTTAATTCTTGCAGGAACGGCATGGAGATTGAGAAAGACTTTCACATCCGGGTGGACAGGATCTCCAAAAGTTCATCGGTAAGTTTCCCATGACACTTGATATTTTACAAAGGACCTGCCTAGCGTTAAGACCGGTATACTTGGTGGCAATAAAATGCACATGCTGACAGTTTGAGAAAGTTACGGTGATAAATTGACATTTGCTTAATCTTTTGATTTTGTATAAACTTGTTTGAGCAAGGATGCTGCTACACATCTATTGAATAACATTGTTTCGTCTTTCAGCACGATCACAAGAGGTCAATATTCATTGGAAATCTACCATTCGGTGAGTAACTATTTAAGAGGGTTTACTTTACTGTGAACTTGTCAGTCAAAAGGAAAACAACATTTCATACTGTATTAACTTGTAGATATAAACGAATTGCCACTGCGACAGCACTTTGAGGAGTGTGGCAAGGTGGAGGGGGTGCGGTTGGTGCGGGACAAGAACTCTGGAATGGGCAAGGGTTTCGGCTACATCTTATTCGAGGTGAGGAAAAAGAACACACATTTCATGTGAAGCAGTTATGTATGCTTTTCAGCAGGCTTCCTACTACTGAGCTGGCCAAGTCCCATACTGCAGCCAACGCGTTGCATAGCAACAACACACAGTTTGGCCGTAGACTACTACTAATCCGTATTATAGTATTACGACACCTCTTTCCTAACTACACCCCTCCATCCATACCTGCATCATCGCTAACGGCTAACGTATTTGTTGTAGAGCATCGATTCTGTCCAGCTGGCCTTGAAACTAGACAGCTCCAAACTCCTTGGCAGGTCGGTCCGGGTGAAGAGGTCAGTGAAGAAGGAGAAAGAGAAGAAGAAAGTGGTGCACAGAGGTCCCAGAGGGAAATAAAGAGAGACTAAGGGTGCAGGGAAGGAGAAGGGGCCTACCAAAGGAGGCTTTAAGGGGAGACCGGGCCAGGGCGTTCCCCAAAACAAATCTTTCGGGAGGCCGCAGGGGAAGGGGCCCCAAATGAAATCGATGGGGAAGCCATTCAAGAAAAGTCCAGGCGAGGCATCGAAAGCCACCACAGGCCCCGCTTCCTTCAAAGGTGAGATGGCTGACCCGAACAGCAAAAAAGCAAAGGCGAAAGCACTGAAGAAGAAACTCAAACCGAGGAAAAGGAATCAGGTTGTACACATTTGATGGTCTGTGCTTTGCGCCTTTCGACTGTTGTGTAATGTAAATGTATTTCATATCGTTCACAAGCAGATAACAGTTGTACAATTAAAATGTGAGTGGAGCTATATCATGAGATGGTGGGTAAACGTTCCTGACGTAACATCCAGGCCTACCCTCATAATTTCCAGTTGAAACATGGTTGTTTTAGGTTGGGGCTGTCCCACCCAATGATGTATGCAAATATGTACAGTGAGGGAAAAAAGTATTTGATCCCCTGCTGATTTTGTACGTTTGCCCACTGACAAAGAAATGATCAGTCTATAATTTTAATGGTAGGTTTATTTGAACAGTGAGAGACAGAATAACAATAAAAAAAATCCAGAAAAATGCATGTCAAAAATGTTATGAATTGATTTGTATTTTACTGAGGGAAATAAGTATTTGACCCCCTCTCAATCAGACAGATTTCTGGCTCCCAGGTGTCTTTTATACAGGTAACGAGCTGAGATTAGAAGCACACTCTTAAAGGGAGTGCTCCTAATCTCAGTTTGTTACCTGTATAAAAGACACCTGTCCACAGAAGCAATCAATCAATCAATCAGATTCCAAACTCTCCACCATGGCCAAGACCAAAGAGCTCTCCAAGGATGTCAGGGACAAGATTGTAGACCTACACAAGGCTGGAATGGGCTACAAGACCATCGCCAAGCAGCTTGGTGAGAAGGTGACAACAGTTGGTGCGATTATTTGCAAATGGAAGAAACACAAAATAACTGTCAATCTCCCTCTGCCTGGGGCTCCATGCAAGATCTCACCTCGTGTCGTTGCAATGATCATGAGAACGGTGTGGAATCAGCCCAGAACTACACAGGAGGATCTTGTCAATGACCTCAAGGCAGCTGGGACCATAGTCACCAAGAAAACAATTGGTAACACACTACGCCGTGAAGGACTGAAATCCTGCAGCGCCCGCAAGGTCCCCCTGCTCAAGAAAGCACATTTACAGGGCCGTCTGAAGTTTGCCGATGAACATCTGAATGATTCAGAGGAGAACTGGGTGAAAGTGTTGTGGTCAGATGATACCAAAATGGAGCTCTTTGGCATCAACTCAACTCGCCGTCAAACATGGAGGTGGAAACATTATGCTTTGGGAGTGTTTTTCTGCTAAGGGGACAGGACAACTTCACTGCATCAAAGGGATGATGGACGGGGCCATGTACCGTCAAATCTTGGGTGAGAACCTCCTTCCCTCAGCCAGGGCATTGAAAATGGGCCGTGGATGGGTTTCCAGCATGACAATGACCCAAACACACAGCCAAGGCAACGAAGGAGTGGCTCAAGAAGAAGCACATGAAGGTCCTGGAGTGGCCTAGCCAGTCTCCAGACCTTAATCCCATAGAAAATCAGTGGAGGGAGCTGAAGGTTCGAGTTGCCAAACGTCAGCCTCGAAACCTTAATGACTTGGAGAAGATCTGCAAAGAGGAGTGGAACAAAATCCCTCCTGAGATGTGTGCAAACCTGGTGGCCAACTACAAGAAACGTCTGACCTCTGATTGCCAACAAGGGTTTTGCCACCAAGTACTAAGTCATGTTATGCAGAGGGGTCAAATACTTATTTCCCTCATTAAAATGCAAATCAATTTATAAAATTTGACATGTTTTTCTGGATTTTTTTGTTGTTATTCTGTCTCTCACTGTTCAAATAAACTTACCAGAAAAATTATAGACTGATCATGTCTTTGTCAGTGGGCAAACGTACAAAATCAGCAGGGGATCAAATACTTTCTTCCCTCACTGTATGTCTATGGTCCCACCTAATGGTAGGGAAAACATTGTTCATTAACTATTCTGGACATCCAACATCTGAGTCTAAATAAACTTTTAGAAGAAGCAACAGTCTTGAGTCATTTACCTTTTATTTAGATTTCTTACAAAGAGGAACAACCTCTTAATGACCTAACTAAACATTCATCCTTGATCAGCACTCCTACTCAAGACGCTTAATACATATGGTCCCAGAGCTTTGTGTAAACGTGGGAGTGATTGCAGGGATGGTATTGTAAATGCTGAGAAATGTTTTGCTACACCTTTCAGAGACAGACATTAAGAGAAGCAAAACAATACATTTTTCTAACTGCACATGAATCCAATAAAATGCTGCCGATAGGCATTTTTGATTGGTTGCCGTTACCGCAGCTTGGCTGCAAATCAAGATTATATGGTCATTTGATGCGACCAATAACTACACACAACGTGTGGGAATTGGACGGGTTCATGTTTCTTTCTTTCATTTGGACAGAAGCGAAATAATCTTCAATACCCTCCAAAAAGTGAATAAAAAAAATTTACCAATTTTCTAGACTAGTCAGGATAATGGGTTACAGGAGCTCCGGAATGAACTTTCCTCTAGATACCGATCTAGGATCACCTTCTCCTCCCCCAATCCTAACCTTAACCATTAGTGGGGAAAATACAAAACTGACCCAAGATCAGCATCTAGGGGCAACTTCACCCTACTCTGTTATAGGAGTGTCCAGAGGAAGAGCGTTCCGAGGGGAAATTTCCATCGACGATCCTCATTCTAAGTCGTCTTCATTCAAGCTACCTTGTGCGCTCACAATACGCTGCAGGAAAGAGAGGGAAATAGTCAAATTCTAAAGCCATAAACATGCTTTAGAAATGTGTCCCATTTGATCTGGGCCCATACTCATTTACATTTTAGTCATTTAGCAGACGCTCTTATCCAGAGCGACTTACAGTTAGTGAATACATTTTTTTATTTTTTTTATACTGGCCCCCCGTGGGAATCGAACCCACAACCCTGGCGTTGCAAACGCCATGCTCTATCAACTGAGCTACATCCCTGCCGGCCATTCCCTCCCCTACCCTGGACGACGCTGGGCCAATTGTGCGCCGCCCATGAGTCTCCCGGTCGCGGCCGGCTGCGACAGAGCCTGGATTCGAACCAGGATCTCTAGTGGCACAGTTAGCACTGCGATGCAGTGCCTTAGACCACTCAGGAGTTCATGAACCCTGAGAGTGCTGATCTAGGATCAGGGCCCGTATTCAAAAAGCATCTTCTCCTACTCAGATGCTTTATGAATACAGGCTCAGGTCACCTGTCCATGTTATCTTACTCAAGGTAAAAACTGATCCAAAATCAGCACTCCTACTCTATGGTAGAGACATGCAGCCCCTGAACGGACTGAAGATGGTTGCCTTGTAAAAAATGATCCTGGATCTGTACTTTGAGGCACCTACAGCTACACCAAAGTCATGAGCGGTGTCTCAGTCTCATATTGACATGTTTGTTACCTAAACTCATTCTTGAACCAGATTTTACTTCTGTCTAGCATATTATACAATTGGTTTTAGGGCTGGGCGATATCTAATAATTAATTTGAATTTGGTTTTTTTGTGCAATGTTCAAATGCCTGTATCGCAAGAATCTACGTTTATATTTTTTTCTAATTTTTACTATAATAGACGAGAACTTAACCTTTCTAATGATACCCTTTATGTGTCAACTCCCAAAATGCAATAAAGAGCAGATCCTACTACAACGAGAGTATCAATGAACATGATTGTGGACCGCTTGCAGCATTTTTGCCACAGACTTATGTGCTAGCTGTCTAGTCTGTTTTTTTATAAATGTGCAATGAGCATAAGACGCATTTATATTAGGAATTGGCAACTCGTTCACATTCTGAGAAATAAGCATTGGTTTATATATCTAAATAAAGTGGACAGGCTGTTGTTCAAACAGTTGGAGACTGATTTGGAGGGTCTATTCATAACAGTTCAACTGTTCTACCTTGTTCGCTAGCAAATAGATCCAAGTTGGCTAGACCTGAAATATAAACATTAGCTGACTACTCACTAGCACGTGGGTTTGTGCTTGAGAGATTGTTTATGAGACCTGTGTTAATTTTCTATAATGCCTGCTACAAGAAGTTGGTCATTGTGCATGGTTCTGGTTAAATTTGTAACAAAAATTGCATTTTCAGAGCCAGACTTGAAAGCCAGATCAATGATAATTTCAAAAAAGCAGGTTAAACTATTTTGATCAAAAAAAGTAATTATTAGTCAGTCTTATGGTTGTGGAAGGCTTATTTAGCCTAGGTATAATTTTACAAGCCCTGAATTCATTAGATTATTGCTGACCGTTTTAAATGCAGTGTATTGACCTTTAACTGTGCAAAAAAGCTTATTAGTGAAAATGTTTAAAAATAAAATCTAGGTATATTGTGAATCGCCCATGTTTAAAAATAAAGATATGATTTTTAGGCCATATCAACCAACCCTAGTTTGTTTCCGCTTTCTTGCTTGAATACACTTACTGTAAGTTGCTCTGAATAGAAGCGCACCTGCTGCAGTTGCGGACACTAAAACGTTTGTCACAAAAACTATCTGTTGGAGACAGAGCGCAGTGTTGCATACACATTGTGGCAATGGTTCTGCTAATAGCACAGCGCAACATAACTTTTCAGTACCTGCAACTGATCCTGAAATGTAAGAGAGGCACTGTACCTGGTTGATGGTTAGTGTTGGGGTTGTTGCATAAGCCCAATTTTGAATAGGATTGCAGTTCTGACTACATATTAGATACATTACATATTACATACATTAGCTTCCTTGCTTGTATGCACTTACTGTAAGCAGCCCAGGGTAGGAGTGTCTGCTAAATGACCTTGAAGTGGAGAAAAGGACTGTACCTGGCTGATGGTGGGCAGTTTGGTGAGTAGCATCTGGAAGACTGGTGGCGGGAGGGTCTGCTGCAGCACCTGGAGCAGCTGCTGGGGCTGGCCGCACACAGCGATGGCGTTGGTCAGGTGCTCCACGCCATTCTCGTAGTCTCCTATACCGGAACACCAAGCGCAAAGAGGTTTAGATCGACAAAACGAGTAGTACATTATATGGAGAACAGCGTCGTTACTCTGGTCAAAAGTAAATTAGGTAGTGCATTATCTGGGGCACAAGGTGTTGTTGCACTGGTCGAAAGTAGTGGGGGAGGATGTCAATGCTTTGGTCCAAAGTAGTGCACTATATGGGAAATAGGGTGTAATTTGAAACAGTCTATGCCAGTAAAAGTAAGACTAGTACAGGTAGTGCATTACACAGGGAATTTGGTGTCATCGTTTGGTAAAAAGTAGTGCACTATATGGGGAATAGGGGGTCATCGCTAGGTAAAAAGTAGTGCACTAGCAGGCCTATATAGGGCATAGAGTGTCACACACAGCCTAAGTGATGTCAATGTAAGCAAGACTGGTTTACCCTGAGCCAACAGCTCCTCTCCCAGCTGAATCTCCTCCAGGAAGAACTTCTGGACCGCCTCAGCATCCTTCAGGTCTGGGAGCTGCAAGAGTCCCACAACACACACTTTACTTTCCATAGGTAAAGAAATAAGTAAAACATAATAGACTGGTGGAAAAGCTGTTGTAGATGGCTTATGCTCCTGGAGGAATAAAAGGCCTATTCACATGATTCGGGCAATCCGCCGAAGCGTGCCACTTCGTCAGGTGCAAGGTCAGAGTTCAATTTAAGTGAACTTTTAGCGCAACGGTGCTGAACCCAAAGCGCTGTGGTGCGCACCGCAGTTCTTGCTGAGTTTGCACTTCCTCCATTGGGAAACTATGGCTTGTTCATCACAGAACCTTTCTTGTGCGAGTGAAGTGATCAGTCTCATTTGTTTATTACACTGGAGGTCATTGAAGATTATTTTCCACATGGTTCCATCTGACGTGTACTAGACATGACTTCTTTAGACATGTGTTCATTGAGGAAGAATTTCAATAGTACCTTGAGGGGATTTTACTCACCTTTGACAGTCCTGTCCCCTGTTTTGCAACTGCCTGATTTCTCCTCCCTAGGGCAGAGGTAAACACAATCACTGTTAACATAAATAGCTTTGGGGACTGCTCCTGTTTGTACTTAGACAACTTAGTTTCTCATTAGGCAATCCTACTATGATTATGAACAGCAGGGATATCCAGGTTGCTTTTAATCCTGCTTGGCAAGCTCTATGTCTGATATGGCTAGTAGCCTAGAATGGTTGGTTTTGGTTACATAACAGATCAAAACACACTATCATGAATGAATCAGGGTAGGTGCAGCTTTCCATGTCTGAATTCAACTGACAGAACGCTTGCTGTGAGTATGCAGTACATTAATACATGATATAGGAGCGAGTTAGCTGAGAAACGCTCAACTCCTCGATATAATCGAACAGAGTTGAGCGGTCCTCCGCTAGGAGCTAGCACTGGCTAGTTAGCTTCAAGGCTTTATGGGTTAGCAGTGCACTGACAATGAATTAATTAGATCTATTGCACAAACCATTACCATTCAAGCTTTCATATTTCGCCAATTGGGAATAGTTAAACGAGTTCGGCCTGTCTCGGGCACTTTGTTGCACCTCAGGTCTCCAAAACAGAGACGGAGCAGGGTGTACAGCCAGGACTCGGACAACACTCACGTTCTCGTAGCCTGTTCTTGAAGTTGGGGTCACTCCGTCTTTTCCTGTCGAAGTAGATGCAGTAGCCGACGAACAGAGCCCCGCAAACACCGGCGGCTATCGTGCTCGATTTACCGCCCATCATCACTTCCGAAATGGTTGATATTTCTGTATTAACAAATAGTATATTTCAATGTTGGTTTATATCAGCGACGGTACATGACCTCACACAGGCGCAAGTTCGCAGCAAAAAGGACCAGTAGGACCACTGTCAAATTTGACAGCTAGGGTGTCCGCATTGATCGCCTGATAAAAAAAATAATAAAACTTTAATTCCAATCACATGATATCTCCGATAACGTATGTATTTTGAGTGCATATGTTAGATGTTGTTGAACTCAGATCGGAAAAAAGAAATGTATTCATATTTCTTCAAATCAATGTAAGTAGTAGTCTATCGCATTGAAATGTAAGTGCCACAAGGGGGCAGTAGCAATTCATTAAAAAAAGAAGCAGCAGGCTAGTGATAACGTTTGATACAATTTAACAGTATTTTCCCCAAAGTAACAAAAATAGAAAGAATTTAGCTACAATTCTAGGTATTTTGACTATCTGGGGTAGACCACACAGCAGCAAACAATGGCCAAGTGAAATATAGAACATTAGGATACATGGTGGGTGGCACAATCATCTAGACTAGTAAGAAAACATGTACAATTTTGCTTTCGCTATGACCAATTCATTTACAAAAAATTATGCAAGTTGCTCTGAGCCTTGCTCATATGCCTGTCTGGCCTTAGTTGGCACTTCTCATCTCCCAGATGATAGCTAATCCCTAGAAGTGCTGCTCAACAGAACAGATGGTCGACTGCATTACATGTGCAAGGCCAGACTGCTGCAAAAATATACCACCTTGACTATTAGGCTTCCGAGGGCACATGCTCAGACCTGCAGTAATACAAACCATCAGGCATGCACATCCTTGCATGGATTACATCATCACCAGACTGTGTCTGGTATTACGTGCACCTTTGCCTTTAAATGGCAACCGAGCCATTCTGCACCCTTGCACAATTTCTGTGGGGGGTTGTTGTGGTTACAGTTTATTAAAGGGATAACTGAACCTTAGAGAGTGGCGTCACTGACCACACGTCGCCGGTTGACAGGGTTTTGGAAGGGTGTGTGTGCTTTTGGGGGGTTTCCAGTTAAGCTGTGGGTGTGTGGTTGTGTGTGTCCAAATGTGTTTGAACAAGTGTGTGTACACCTTCATACCCTTATTTATGTCTCTATGTGTGTGAATGTGAGCATGCATTGCATGTGTTCTTCTTCAAACTTACGTGTGTGTGTGTGTGTGTGTGTGTGTGTGTGTGTGTGCATGTATCAGTGGAGGCTGCTGAGGGGAGGACTCATAATAATGGCCGGAATGGAGTGAATGGAATGGTATCAAACACATGCTTTTCATGTGTTTGATACCATTCCATTCACTCCATTCCAGCCATTACACTCCATTCCAGCCATTAGTATGAGCCGTCCTCCCCTCAGCAGCCTCCACTGGCATGTATGTGTATGTGCGTACGTGTGTACACTTGTCTGTGGACAGCTTACATGGTAGGAGGATTATCCGTCTGCCCTGTCGTCTCTCTCGCCAGCGTCTTAGCAGCTCGCACCTGGCATGCAGCTGGCTGGGGGTTGGCAAAGAATCCGCCCCTCAGGGACATCTAGCTTCGCCGGTGCCCGGGCATGATGTGAGGCGGCTTAGCCAAAGGCTCGTCGTCTCGCGGCGGTGGGGTATTATTACCATTACTCAATCGTTCCTGGAAGCTGCTTTGGAAGCCCTACTGAATGTGATCCCAGTGCGTGTGTGTTTGGAGGTCTTCTAATCCATGCTGTCATCCCAGGCCACATTATACATGTCGGTAGCAATTCCCTAGAAAACAAGTACACTTGTCATTTGTTGGGACTCAGACAGATCTCATGTCCTTGTGTCAATGTGGGTTGGAGGTTTGGATAGAGAGACTATGACACACTCATCAGAGACTGTTTAGGGGTGTTGTACAAATAATGGTTGTTGCAAAACTATCTTTCAATCAAATAGTAGTATTATGTAAGACTTTAGGGTTTATAAAGAGAACCAACCGATGCGGATGCTTTACCGACTGATTCCTACATATCTCTCTTAAAACCATTTATATGGGTATAACTTTTACTGTTCTCCTGGGTGTGCTAAGGTTGGCAAAAAGACAGGAGACACCCTGCAGTTGCTTATTGTGCAGTATACGAGCCATACTGTATACCTTTATTGGCTGTGCACATAGCAGTATTAAATTAATTAAGCATGCTCCATAAAGGCTAGGTAATTAGCATGCTTGGGCTCATAATCCAATCAGTGTGTATGATGCTGCACGGTGAGCTCATCGCTATATGACGTTTGCAGCCATGCTGACTCGGCACATTTACTGTAAAACCTGTCACGGCGACTTGCGTCTGTGAGTGCAAAAGCAATTATCTTCTTCTGCCCTATCATCTTCCTTGGAATGGTGCTCGTACTCCTCCGTTGCCATGGTTTCGGATCAGAGAGGTAACCATGGCAACACTGTTGGTATTCCCCAATTGGGGGGGGGGGGGGGGGGGGGGGGGGGGGCTTGTTGAGAGGGGGAGAGAAGGAGAGAGAGAAAGCTGTTCAAACATGACAGGATTTTAAAAAAGCGGTTATTACAGAGCAGCTGAAGAAGGCAGATATACACACACTGCCACAGGTCTTTCCCACTGATGCTTCACACACACGCATGCTCACACCCACCCACACCTACACACACACACCTACACACACACACACACACACACACACACACACACACACACACACACACACAGACCAAGCAAGTGTTTTGAGTGGAGATTTGCACAAGGGCTCCAGTGAAAGAAAGCTTGCAGGGACAAACAGAGAAGTAATTATTTTTACCCTGGCTGCAGCTGTTTTTCTGTTTGTCTTGGCAGCCCTGGCTCCAGCAGCAGAGAGACAGGCCAGGAGACAGGAGCTGAAAAAATCCCCCTCTCTTACCATTGGAATAAAATACAGAACGTTTTGAATCCCGGCCCAGGAACGTCCCATAAAACTGGAAATGGCAGGCCTACCCTGTATTTTCCATGAACCCTGTGCTCTCCCCATTCCAAAGGCTATGTCATTAGATGTGTTTTCAAGCGAGAAACACGTAGTGGAACCAGGAATGGAGGGGAGGAGGTAGGATGGCAGGCTTGACAAGTATCTGAGCCAAGTGGAGAAAGAGAGAGACTTTTCTGTTTAGGTTGTCTGAATGGGGGAGAGAGTGCTGACTGAAAAGGAATGGAAAGTAAGAGAGAGAGGGAAGTGAGAGAGAGAGGTAAAGAGGACCGCTTGTGTTAGCATGGCGTTGCGCCCCAGGACCCCATTAGCTAGCTCTCTCTTCAGCTCTTGGCATCGGCATTGGCGGTGGAGGTTTTATCGGCGGCTGTAAGTGAACCATGTCTCCCTCCCTGCAGTGCTCCAACTAGTCCTCCATGTTGAAATCACCACTCCCTCCCTCTGGGGTCAGTAAGGGGAAAGTAAGCACCGGCGGTGGTGGCTGGCTACAGCTCCAGCCAGTTTCCTTCCCTTTTCCTCCACCCTTCTGGGTGAGTGGAATCTCTGGATGGATATGAGTGCAACAGAGTTCTGGCCAGTGAGAGTTGGCTACCATTTTATCTCCAAAAGTTAGCTGAGTTAGTTCCAGTACCAAGAGTTAGCTTTCAGGCTATTTAGCATTTTATCTTCAAACATTAGGTTGGCAGAATTACCTCTATATTCTGAGTTAGCTCTATGATTATAATTTGGTTGTAGAACTTGAGACATAGTTTATTATATTATATTACATATTATATAGTTTAGGGTTTGAGCTGTGAGGGAGCCAGGGAGGAAGAGAGGGATTTGATAAAAGAGTGGAAGATGGAGGGAGCTATTTGGCACACTGAGAGAGAAGAGGCTGCTGAGCCGAGGCAGACAGCCCACCACCGTTCGGCTTTCAGTAGGGGTAGCTGCTGCTCCAGCACAACATTCACAGCACCCCACACACACAGAAAAACACACTCGCTCACTCAAACACTAACACACACCCACACTCAGAGAAACACACACTCTCCCAAAACAAAATAACTTTCAGCTGAAGTAATGGGTGAATGACACTAAAAAAGTAGTAGTCTACGAGTAGGTTATATCAATACACACAACCCACTGGGAACAGATGTCAGTTCAACGTCTAGTTTTGGTTGAGTTGTCAACTAACATGAATTCAACGTGAAATCAACAAAACATTTTACCATGTCATTGGATTTAGGTTAAAAATGTCCTTAAGTTGACTTTTGCAAATCCAATCAGTTTTCCATCTTGATTCAACGTCATCACATAGAATCTTTTGGTTGAAATGAAGTGGAAACAACGTTGATTCAACCCGTTTTTGCCCAGTGGGAAGTGTAAGAGTGGACAAAACAAGGCTTTGCAAGTTAGTGTTGCTAACTAAACAGGATTGTATTCCTTGTATACAGTAGATTATTTTCTGTCATTGCTGCAGTTTAGTACAAAATACAGATTCTTACACTTGGGTAATTGCAATCTAGCACAGGTCAACCTATAAAGCCACTTTCAGTGTCAATCTGTGTATGTTTGTTTGTTTTCTTGGCTGTCTATTCCATGACAGCCTACTGCAGTTGCAGGACATATAGGGAGACAGTTCTCCTAAGCACTGATCTATGGTCATTTTAGTTTTCATCTCCTATGGTCAGAACAAAGATTGGGTCCTGGTAAGTTGTTCCTAGATCTGCTCTTGGGTGGCAGCATACATCTACCCTCAACCCTATTCTGCGGCACCTGGTTAGTCGTGCTAGCTAGCTATAACGTCCCTGTCTGCTGTAGCCTGGTTAGCAAGCTAGCTAGCTATATTGTCTCTCTGCCATCACAGCTGCCTGGCCAAGCACGCCCGTAGGAAGGCCTTGGCAGTGTCCGCTGTCTGTGCAGATGGCCGGGGATGGCAGCTCAGTGTGACGCCTCCGCCTTAGATGCCTCTGATGATTAGACCCTCTTTGAAAGAGATAGACATCCATTTACATGGAGGCTCTTCTCTCAGCATACCAATT